CTCGAAAATGCTCTAATATGTAAATGAATGAAACGAGACTAATGAAGCTTATGGAGAAATAGATACGTATGTATATAAATGTATATGTATAGAGAGAGAAGGTGTGTATTGGCATAGGACGGCTAGAGTTGAACTAGTTTTTGCTGGCATGAAATTATCGATACGTATACTTGATTTTAATTGCTGCATTGAATTAGGTTTTCCATGGCTGATAGCTAATGCGTAAATGAATTAGTTAGAGTGAAAGTGAGTGATATTTGATATACTATTACTATATGATATGCTCTACACACTCACAATAGAAAGCCAAATTTAGGCATATGCCTATTATAATTATATATGCTTAATTAACAATAGCAACTAGTTTTGTTAAAAATATATAGAGGCGCTCTAGATAGTTAGACAGATTAGGCCAGCAATTACATGTAAATACTGCTGAATATGCATATATGGATATATATTTGTATATATAGAAACAAACTATTGGCCAACTGGCAACTGTTCAATCAGCTAAATATTTGTATAAAAATATTTAAAAAAAAATATAAATCAATATATAGTTAATAAATGCTTCCAGTAGATATTCAAATGGGAATCTATTCATTTTTATTATTCATTAAATTCTTTCAGTAGATATTAAAATGCAAAAGTACATACTCATTATAGCTAGAGTATTCGGAAGTGCAACATAAACAAAAACTTGACGCTCAACTATGGATCAGGATATTAACTTACTACATTTATTGTACTTATGCCCACATATACCACACACACGCACACACACACACACACACACATGCAGCCATGTATATCATAGGGGAACTCTACGTAAAGCCACAATGACTTTCAGCTAGTTGTTGCCGTCAAAGGCTTGCCGGATATCAAGCTCGAGTGGTTATTCGCGCCTTTTTTTGTTTGCCAAGTCATCAAATTAAACTTTGTGCTACTTACGAAGTGCACATAAAATCAAATGTCTACAGGGAGCACAGGCCCACACACACACACACACATACACAGAGAGAGGGGTAGGCAGGCCACCAAATATCGCGTGCAAAATGTCGCGATTCGTCTGAGGACTTGAGGCAAACAAACACCTACACTTGGAGCAGGGGCAGGAGGAGGAGGAGGAGCAACAGCAGCAGCAGCAGGAGCAGCAGCGGCAACAACTACAATTATGGCAGTGACAGTAAAACCGTCAACAACGCGTCGTATGTGTAATGCGAAGCTAACACTCGGCAACCCGCTGGGCTTTAGACGTTGCTCGCCCCTCTGCCCCCTGCTTGACTCCTGCAGCAGTGCTGTCTGGGTGTGTCGCTCTTTGCCATTGAGTTGGGTTCCTTGCATGCTCATTTGTGTCTACTTCAATTGTCGTTGCCAGTTGATGTTGTTGTTGTTGCTGTTGTTGTTTACAGTAGCTTTTGGGCAGCCATAAAAGTGTTTTGATATATGCATATGCATAATAGTTAAGGGCGGGCCTGGAAGTGACTTTCGATATGCAATCAACATGGAATACGCATACGCCGCGTGTCTCTCTGCTCAGTGCATGGCATAATAGCCACTGAGCACGTTACCTTGCACGCACACCTAATGAGCATATATTTAACTGACATATGTGTGTGTGTGTGTGTGGGTGTGTGTGTACTTGAGTTCTGTTGACGTGTATGCTGGGATAAATCGTTAGCAATACCATATATATGTATATGTATATGTATATATATCGAGCAATTGCCTATATTTGTTTGGTCAATATTTATTTTGGCTGCAAACACGATATGACGTTTCCTATCAGACACACATATAACCATACACTCACACACCCACACACCTGCCTGCCTGCTGTGCACACCCACTACAATTGGCTCTGTCAAGTCTGTGTTGTTGACTGCGAATTGCCTTCAGCTGCTCGTCGCTGCTGCATCCTCGTTAGTTGCGCGCAAGTACAATGAACCAGCCGAGAGGACGCTCTGGCTGCTGCTGCTGCTGCTGCTGCTGCTGCTGGTGCCACAGACGCAGGCAACGTGGCCGGTTAAATGTCTACTAAACGGCACCCAAAGGTACAACAGCAACTGCGCTGGGTACATACAAGCGGTGAAAAATCGAAAGAAAATGAAGTAGCCATAATATTTAGTTGGGTTAAGTAAGGTCGCCACACGCAACAGCAGCAGCAGCAGCTTACAGCTTAATCTTTGAGTGAGAAACTGTGGCACACACACACACCCACACACTCACATACACTCAAGCAAACTCCCATTTTAGCCTTACATTTTATGCTCCTTCGGTCAGAGGCTTGTGCTGCAGCATCATGACTTTTGGTTTTGTTTTTTTTCACAGCTTATTTTAGATTGAAAATTAACAAAAATCAAATCCGATTTTCTTCTGTTCTTTTTTTTCAGCTAATGCACTTGGAAATCGGTGTAAAAATCTGTTGAAACAAACAAACCGCGAGCGCGTCGTGAAAAAGCCGACTGAAATTTTTGTTATGCTGGCTGCGTGTGAAATTCTGCTCTTCAGCAGCGACGTCAACGCCGACGACGCTGGCGCTGACGAAGAGGAGAACGTCGGCATCGGCATCGGCATTGCCAACGCTAACGCCGGCGCTGGCGTCGTCGTCGTCGTTGCTGTTGTTGTTGCTATCTTTGTCTGGCCCATGTATTCTAGCAACAAAATAACGGTTTGCAGCTCTCAGCTGTTGACACCCTCGCTAGGGCTTTTCTGCTCGCGAGTGCACGACAAATACTGGGAAATTTCGATGTGGTGTAAAGGGAATTGCATGCGGCGGCTGTAGTTTGAGAAAATAAAGTATACGCACTGTTGCTGCCGTGCTTCTCTCCACACACACACACACCCATACACACACATATGTGCATATTTGTGTGCGTGTGTGAGTGTGCGCCTGCTGAAGCCATATTAAAACTATATTATTTTTATTTATTGCCTCGGGGCAGTCTGTGCACCTGTTGCCGTTTATTATTATTGCGCGCGCCTCTGACCAAATGCCTGGCAACTGGCTTAAGAAAAGTGACTGGAGTGTATTGTAAATTGAATGGACTATTAGCTTAACTTATGCTAAAAATACAAACAATTGAAACCATCAAGTGATATTTTGTTATAGTTTTCATATGTAACAAAGAGAGACATTTATTTAATAGATTTAAAAACAATCAAGTACAAGTGGAGGTTAAGCATTTCATATATAAATACAAATTAGCTTTGCCACAAGTTAAATACTAACTTGAGTACAGTCAGAGTGCATTTTAAATTATGCTAATTAGATGTTTTCCCTTCTATTTCTATTTATTTTTGTTTTCTTTTTGGGTTTGCTTTGTTTAGCCAGATTTTTTTCCTTTTAAATTTTTATTGTTTTTTTTTTGCCTTGTTGGTTTCTGGACAGTTGCAGCAAACATTCGATGTGGCTGTGTCGTTTCATTGTTCTCCGTAGAAATTTTATACAATGCTCTCATGCTCGGCTGGCAATCGTTTGTTTGTTTGGTTTGGGTTTTTTTTTATTTTATTTTTTTTTATTTCTGGGGTGTCTCCGTACTTTTGTTGCAGTTGAATGTGAAAAATTGAGATTTTGATTTTACAGTCACAGGATTTGACTTGAAATTTACTCATTTATATATTCAATAATCCATACTTCTTGACTTACAATAGTAATGCATAAAGCTCGGATAGTGTATTTAGACATCGACTAAGCTCTCATCTAGCCTTACTCTTTCTAATTACAATCTTTTTCAGGTCACTCTTAGCATATTTGTCCATTGTTCTGTGTTTCGGTTTTGTTCGTGGCCACATAAAGGATATTGCTCGAACAAATTCTTATATATATATATATACAAGTTGACATCTATATATGCATATATATATATATATATGTATAGATTTAAGCACGGAACACTTAAAGAGTATAAATTCGTACAATATTGCTGCTTATGACTATTTTTCATATTTCTGCTCATATTTTGATCGAGCTTAAATAGCTTTTGTCTGTTTTGTTTTTGTATTTAGGTACAAGTACTCTGTCAGGCCTCGGTCAAGGTCTTGGTTGAACAGAAATTTAGCTGCGAGATTTTCGCATAATAAGAATATTTAATTCACATTCATAATGTATACTTAATTGTTCAACACATTTGCATAATCATATTTGTACATTTAATAAGCTTAATTAAACAATCTGCATTTATTATACATTTCAATATGATTTTCATTGATTTGCAGTTTCAATTTAATATATTTATTTTAATAAATTATTTTCCCAGTATATATTTATGAATGTTAATGCTTTTTGACACGTTTTGTATATTAAAAAAAAAAAGAAAAAAGAAAAGAAAATAATTGCGCAATGTTTGAGCTACATTCGTTGCGGAACAGTTGGCCACAAATTAATTACGACACCTGAACAGCTAATTTTATTTATATATGTATATATATATATATATGTATGTATGTACATTTGAAGTGCGTAATTTATGTCTCTTTCCCTGATGATACATTTTGGTTTCCCTGCTCTGCCACATACATAATAGACACTTACTTACTTACACTAGACTTATTAAGAGCCTACTTAAGGGTAGACCTCACTATGAGGCTTATACTACAATAAATACCTATTAACATTTAAGCTCCCTCAACAAGACCTCTATCACTTCGTTGCCCACAGCAATGTTGTATTAGGTTTGCCTTGGAGTTGTATATATATTTGATAGGGTACATCAATTTATCTGTAAGCTGGCTATAATTGCTCTCCACCATGAGAGCAGCCTTCGCGCCGTTAAGTAATACAATGGGCAAGTATCTCATTACAATTTTCCTTTGAACTGCTGCCAAGTGAAGCTCTGCTATGTACAACTCACGTGAAAGGCGAGCTTATTTTTCGATTTTTGTTTGATTATATTTGATGAATTTCATTTAATTTTTATCAAGTCCAACAAGTCTTTCAAAGGGAATATACGAACTAAAGGACTATTTATGCATATCATTTAATATAAAAATAATAATAATACTGAATTTAGTAAGCTCTCTCTTTAAAATTCTTCGGTACATAAAGGATCACGTTTAACACTCGATCTACATCTCTACCTCTTTCTCTCTCTTTACAGTACAAAAATATGGTTATCCGGAATCTCAATTGATATGGTAAGCTCTCTCTCTCTCTCTTTTTAAAACTTACTCTGCTCCATGACCCCTGAGATGGAATTGTTGATCTCGGCCACAACGATGATCTCCTCGTTCTCCTCCGTCTCCTCGGGCACCATCATCAGGTTGTTGTTGAGCGTGTAGGGCTCAGCGCGATTCTCGCAGTCGCCGCTTGAAGGGCGCAACCGATGCGTGAAGGAGGAGCGTGATCGAGTCATATAGGAGGAGCGAGTGGTGGATACGCGTCTGAGGACACCACGTCCATACATCAGCATACGCACCTCGACACGAAATCTGGGATGTGTGGCCGCATACAGATAGGGATCCACGCAGGCAGCCGTCTTGCAGAAGAGCGCGGGTATCATGGAGCCCAGTGGCGTGATGTGCTGCTCCTGGCCAAAGACGCCCATCATGGCGACAATTGCATACGGCGACCAGGCAATGAACCACAAGCCAATAATGGCGGCCACAATGAATGTTAGCTTCTGCTCGGTCTTGGCCTTGTCCTTGCTCGACTGGATGCGGTTCGCCGTGAAGACCACCTTGAGTATATAGAAGTAGGAGTAGACAATGGAGGCCAAGGGTATGCAGTAGGCGGCCACAAAGAAGAGGGCCATGAAGATGCGTGCCGGCGTCTCCTTGTTGAGATAGTCAAAGCTGCAGGTGGTGAGAAAGCCCTCCGGCACATACACCGACAGGCCCACGTCCAGGGCGGGCATCACGGCAAACAGGAAGCTGTAGCACCAGATGGCGAATATGATCAGGTAGGAGCGCAGGCGGGAGTAGCGGCGCAACGGCTGCAGCGGGTGCACCACCACATTATAGCGATCCAGGGCAATGGCCGTCAGAGTGCCAATGGCACAGGTGCCACTCAGGCCACCCACAAATCCATAGAGGCGACAAGCTGCAGGTGAGCAATTGAAACCGATGCTTCTAGTTAATCCCAGTGCGGGCTGCGCACGAGCACTTACCTGCATCGCCCAGCGCTGGGCCCTCTTGGATGTTGTTGTAGATGGCGATGGGGCACTTGACCAGCATCAGGAAGTCGCATATGGCCAGATTCATGACCAGTATATTGGCCGGCGTGCGCAGCGACTTCCGGCTGCCGAACATGAAGATGACGAACGCATTGCCAAAGCAGCCGACCACGGAGATTAGGCAATAGAGGCCGGCCATGATGTAGAAGGTGCTGGTGTCAGGCGGCTCGAATTGCAGCCAGAAGGGATTCACCTTTGCTATGTAGGTCAGATCGTATTTGTCGCGATAGTGTATATAGCCGGGATATGAGCTGCAAAGCGAGGTAAATATGCAAATATTAAAAGCCATTCGCTGCCTCTGTCTCTCTCTCTGTCTTTCTGTTTATCCTTCTCTATCTGTTACTAGTCTATCTGCATAAATTATTTAAGATCTGCGAATCGAATGGCTGATGCACATATATACCCTGTAAATGTGAGTAGTAGAGGTGATGTGGTATATGCTAAGAGGCAGTAAGAGGCAGGTTAAATAGAGAAATTGCATATTCATATACATGTATGATATATACTTATAATATGCAGTTATTCTCACAAATCATTTACTCTCAATAATTCCCTGTCCAGGGTATCGTTGCAACTCTATCTGAACTCTAGTTTGCACATGCAAATCCAACTTTAGAGCCATCAATCCTTTAACGGAGTTCAAAAGAACTCATGCACATATACAGCACACACACACACACACAGACAGCACACATATACCCACATAGACTCACCTCAGATCTGTTTCGCTGTCATTCACACCATGCGGATGCTTGGGATGACCTTTGGTAGCATTCGCCGTGGTYGCTGTCGAAGCATTTACAGCTGCTGCTGCTGCAGCCGCTGCGGCAGCTGCCACTGTTGTTGTTGTTGTTGTTGCGGCAGCGACAAACGTTGCATTCTGTGTGCCATCAGCGACAACGCTGCTGCTCCCGCTGCTGCTATTGGCGCCGGTGGCCAGCAGCTCGGTGAGAGCGCTAGTTATCCAGAGGCTGCCATCGTCAGCTGTCAGCGTGGGCAATGTTGACATAATGGTCTCCATGCTGTGTCTTTTATCGTGTCTGTTTCACTATTTATCTTGCTGGCCTTTTTGCCAAAAATTTGTGTAGTACTTTCTACGGGCAGCGGGTTGTTGCCGCAGCCACTGAAGCAGCCACTGAAGCAGCCACTGATGCAGCCAATGATGCTGTTAAATTTTGCATGTGCCACGCTGCGTATGCGTGACGCGCGTTGCTTGCTTGCCGTGGCCGTGACTTGCTGCTTTGTCTCGTCTCTCCAGCTGGACGATTCGCCTTATTTTGTCATTTGCTTAATTACTGCCACTGACGCAGCTTCAGCGCATGCATCGCTTTTTGGCTTCCATCCGTTCTCAGTACTAAAACGAGACAAATAAAAATAACCTTTCAGCTTAAACGAGCTATTACCGAATTTTATTGACTAACTTTTCAGTCGCGTTCTTTGCCTTTAAGTGGAAATGTATTGAATGCAAAAGAAAATACATCTTAATTTTCGATTTAAGTCCGTTGTGCCTTTTCCCTAAAGATTTGCTTTGGCTTCCGATTTTATTAGAGAGTAATTTAAATGAATTTGTATTCCTCAAATCAAAGCTCGCATATTTAATATCAAGTATATTGAAAATTTTCCCTTGCTTTATATAATTTTCTCCAGTCTGCAGTTCGCAAGCGCCATAAATAGCGAAAGCTATTAAAAGCTGCATGAAATATAATAACATCGTTGAGTAGTTGGCACAAGGGACTCGAGGCATTGGTTGCACAAGTTAAGAGCAAAGATTTCACTAATCAAGTTAATGTGATTAGGCGCACTTGCTTCGTTTCCACCAAGCAAATTTCAGGCTAAGACAGTTAACTAGGTTTAGCTGTGGCATTTACATATGCTTGCAGAGACATGAAACTTAATGTGGAATCATTTGCCATTGTCTTGCTGCGGCACAAAATATCTTGTCGCCACAATCAGAATTCTGGCCATAAATAATTTAGGTTTGTAAAACAGCTGTATATGTCTATAAATTATGCTAGCATAATGCATGCATTTGATGGATATTGTTCGGGTGCAGGCGAACATCAAAATCAATTAATGCCTCAAGCCTAGACCTTGAGCTTGGCTTCGGTGGGTGGTGGGGGAACTCTGCTTCGGCTGCTTGTCGCATTGTGGGGAGAAGCCTCTTCAGGTTTCTTGGCACGTGTGTCTAAAACGAGGGCTGCCTCTGAGATTATGTAAATCTCTGGCTACTTAATTGCTAATTAAATAACTGAGCAGCCGGACTGCAATAGTCTCCGAGATGTTCTGGCGCCGCAAGTGCTTTACAACACAAACAGCAACTCAAACAGCGAGCAGCTCTTCAAGTTGTCGTCGGGGCAACTTCTTGTAGATGCCAGCGGCAAAACTTTCTCAAGCAATTGAAAAGGGCAACAGCTGTGGAGAAATCAACAATCTAGAAGTGCAAGTAGCCGAAGGACATTCCACTTTAAAGTCATCTTCTTGCACTGCAGTTCACAACTCCAAGTAGGACTAAACATCTAATAGATGTCTTTTGCCAACAACGTGTCCCCAGCTATTACTCAAATGGTAATGTAAGCAGATTTGCACTAATTGGTCCCAGTCAATAGCCACTGCACTGGCACAGCACTCCTTGTATTTTCGCACGCTTTTGTTTGGGCCATCAAAGTGGAATTTATTTCGCACGAAACTCGTATAGCGTTAGGCCCTTTGTCGCAGTTGAAAAGCGTCGCCAGCGCAGCACTTGCCGCAATGGACCAATTAATTATTGTTATGCCACGCAAGGGGTCCTACATATTCCAATTAAACGGGAATTATGCTGGTGTGGCATGTCTAGTCAATACATTTGAAATGTATATCGTTCTTGTTATCGATACTTCAAATGTATTAAATACTAGAAATTTACGTTGCAATGATCGCCTTAAAGTTGGCTGCGCATAATGCTTACTGGAAAGAAGCAAGCAAAACAAATGTGCAAGAGGAATTTTAAGTTGGCTGCTCATAAAAGGACAAGGCGATTGTTAGACAAACCTAAACATTTATTCGGATTAATTTGCCCTTAACTGAAAATAAGGTATACGATTCAATTAGTTGAATTAATTAATTAAAACTCTACTCATGCAATTAGTATGTCCTAAAGTGAATTATTTTAAATAGCTTTCTTGAGCTTGTCAATCGCCAACAATGCAACAATTGCAACAATGGTCTGAAAGTGTCAGCCGACTGCATTGGTTAATACTCATCAATTACGTTAATTGGCATTGCAAACTACAACAAATGGTTTCCTTTCCTTCCAGCTGGACTGGTTGGTCTCTATTGAGCGTGAGTATAACATAGAAAATGCGATTCCATTGAATTTGCCTGCAACTAGATTTTCGATATGCCCGGCCACCCAATGGACCCATTCAAATGTCCATGGTAATTCAAGTCCGTGGCCCATTGTGCAGGCTCTCATGACGCTTTAAGTCTTTTTTTGTGAGATAATCGCCTTGCACAAAAGCGCAGGCGATGAAGACGCAGAAGGCACGTCTGTTCAGTAATTTCTTCTCTGTAGTTTGATTCGATAAATGTGCCCGTTTATTTGACGACCTTCAGCCATTGTACCATGCATTTGGTTTGCTTTCAAAGTGCGACTAGAATCATATCCAGAACATGATTATTCAACCAATCAGAAACAGGAAACGCGTCTTTCCGCAGCACTTAGTTATATAAGAATATGTTAGATATACACCACTAACCGCTGTGGTGGCGGTGCTGCGGTGCCTGCACCAACAATTACGCGCCACTTGTGCTCTGCCAACAAAAAGTGCAACGAAATTAAATAAAATGACTCGGCGGAAATTACTGAGCGCACGCCTAAAAGCATGCAACAATTATTGTTATTTTTAAAGTAACATTTTCCATGTCTTTTTGGCTGCCATTTCGCATGCGTGGGTGTGTGTGTGTGCGCGCGTGTGTTCGCTTTTTCACAACGTTTTTGCCAGATTTCATGGTAATTACGTTCATAAACTGAATTTAATAGCAAAACAATATCAAATTGAACTTTCGGCAAAAAATATGTTTGACCTTCTATGCGGAATTCCTGAATTATTAATTAAAATAAAAAAAATTGCTAAATTGTTAAAAAAAAAATGAATAAACTGCCAAAATAAATTTAAAATTTAAACTAAGACCCAGCTTAAAGTTGAATATTCAACAATTTGCATTGGAATCTGTGGATTAGTTTTACGCGATTTATTTGATGAGCTGTCAGGTTTTTGTCGACAACGTTTATATATTATGAAATGCAGACAAAATTCACGAGCTTTTGGCCGCGTTTTAAGCTAACAATATTGCTATATAAAATTCTGCTTGAAAAAATACGTTGATTAACGACAGGACTTCAAAGGGCTGACACCTGCATCGGGCTGCTGTTTCACTAAATTGAAATGAATGAAAATGTTTTTAGCCAGTCAGTTTCAAATACTCTTTCAAAAAGGGCAGAGAGTATATAGGCTTGTGCTATTGAAGTTATAGAGTTCAGATTAGAAATAGTAGTAAGATTATTAAATTGGAAAATCTTATATATACTCTCGAGGATGACAGAAGCTTAAGTATATATATAATTTATATTACATCCATGCTCAAGGGTGTGTAAATCTGTTGCAACTGTTCTTAGACTGTGAACAAGTATTATGCAGTCAATGACGCCCCACTGAAACATTGACGCTTGATAAATAAGACTTAAACAAAACTGCAAACATTTATGACAGAGCTAAATATAATATAGGTGTGGAAATGATTTATAAAGACAGCATTTGCGCTTTAAATTGAATTTACTGTGCTAGGAAAGGAAAAAGCGTGAAGATATGCCTGTGTGTGTGTGTGTGTGTGTGTGTGTCTGTAATAGAAAGACTTTTGTGCATCTGCGTGGGCGTGTGTTAGGTGAGTTATGTCGAGCTAAGCCTCAACTACGGTTGGGCGCATGTAAAATGCCACGATTTCACTGTACTACAGTCGTAACCCTCTCATCTAGAAACTTGGTATTGATTTATGCTCGCGCTCATTTCTCATTTTTACCATTTTTCACTTATGTGCGGCAAATTTTTGCAGTCATCAGCGACAGCAGCTGCCGCTGGGCCAGACGAGCTGCCAAGTCTGAAATGCAATGCTTTTTGTTGTTGTTGTTGTAGTAGTAGTTTGTAGTTCTATTTTTTTTTTTTTTTTGTATTTTTTTGCAGTCCACTTAACGTGTGGCTCAAGGCCAAAGTATAGATATTGTATGCACCGCCCATCAACAGGCACTCCAAGCGCTAAATGCACTACATGGCCAGATTTAATGTTGGCCGTTGGCTGAGCTTTAACATAACTAACCGTAAGCTCGTATGAATGTTTTACAATTGCCAATGGGCTCACATGTCGCAGCTTGAGTGTGTGCTCCAAGCTCTGCACAAGTGCGCCCCAGACAGTGCTCCAGCGTGCATCCTTGAAGGCCGTGCCGGCCGGCCACTTAATGCAGTTGCCAAGGACTTGTTTACAAGAACTTGATAAATGTTACAAAGCTCAACGTACAGCGTACAACGTACAATGTCCAATGTCCAACATGCAACATCCAACGTCCACTCAGGTGTGTCAGACACACAAAAGAGTCCGAAGAGTCCATAGAGTCCTCTATTCTCATTACCTTTTGGCTTTGGCCTTTTGCATATTCCGAATGCACTCGCAGTCAACATTTCAATTGATTCAGCTTCATAATGTTTGTTGTTTAAAACAGGAATACATGAAAGTTCGCATGATTTGGCAAAGATGTGCAACTAAAAGTCAAGCATGAGCCCGAATGAGCCCGAGGGTCGCCTGAATGTCGCCTGATTGGCAAGCAACTAGCTATGATTTCGTCCGTTATCTCAATCAAACTCTCAATCAGCAAAAATGCCCTTTCGCTCGACTAACTAAATTGCTATTCATATATGTATGCCATTTTTATATGTTTAATGCATGATATTTTGTAGCTGGAAACGCTACAAGCTGGACAAAAATTGTGTAACCTTTCTTTTGGAAATAAATTAAATATTTTTCACAGCACTTGACCAATTTGTAGCGTCGAGAAACTTGTGAAATATAAGTACGCTGTGGCTTATCTTTTGGGCAAAGTTTTGCGACAAGTTTTTCTTCTGGTTCGCATTATTATTTATGGTTTCTCTTGTGTCCAGTGGCGAATTTTTGTTCTGAAACTATTTACCTCTGTCAGCAGCAATTCTCGTTCGAATTTCCTCGTGTAATTTTCGCCCTTTGGCGCACAGAAAAGCGTTTTTTCTAATTTTTTTTTGATGTTTTGTAAAAGTTGGCGCCAATTGAACTCCGGAAATATATTTGATATTTTAAGTTGGTGCAAAGTGCTTTAAGCTGATGTCATGAAATATTTGCTGTGATGCGACAGCAATTTCGGTTTGCTTGCACAGGTGACGCGGCGTATACGCAATCTTAATTAAAATCCGCGCAAATAACTCAAAAGCAGCACACACGCAGGATCATAATTGATAACTGTTCGTTCGTTTCGTTCAATTAAGGCGCCAAAATGTGGACTTACTTCTGGCTGTTGCTGCTGCTGCTGCTGCTGCTGCTGCTGGCAACGGACAGTAACAGCCAGTGGAGAGGCTCGCGTTCGACTGAGGCACAGGACACAGCTGCCAGCATTTTTATCAATGAAAATTGTTGCTCAGCGTAAGCTGCTGTGCAGACGACTGCAAAGAGAGAGAGAGAGAGGGAGAGAGAGCGAGAGAGCCAGCGAACGAGCGAGGCTGGCTGCTGTGCTCTCTGTGAGCGCTCTTAAATCGCAGCCACCGAAACCTGATAAGGACGCCGTTTTGTTGTCAGCATGTGCCGCAGATAACCTGCCCAAATGCGGCTTAAATGTGACAGCCTGCCAAACTCAATTACTTAGCGTATGACAAGAATATGACAGTTCGATGAGGAAGTCACTTTAATGCGAAAGACTCTGGCAAGACTTTGTTGCTCCGTGAGCAGGTGCACAACAATACTACGAACACTTAAATCGGTTTCTAGCCCAACTAGAGCTACCGATACAGCTACAGCCACAGCTAAGGCTGGCAATTAAATGGTCTCTACTGACGATTCTTTCATAAGCGGAACAACAACAACTGCCAGGCCTTGACTTGTGACCCACTCGCTGTTGTTATTGGCCGGATTATACTCATATGTTGGTAAATCAGGACATAGTTACTCGTATTTCATTTACAGTTTATGGCCGGTACGTGTGCGTGTGTGCGTGTCATCAGGCAGCCGCAGTCCCTTGGTTAGCGTCGGCTCGCCTGGCAACCAGCCGACATTTCCAATTGGAATTTTACATTTGAATGAATATTACGCGCACACATAATATTTAAAACTTCCCCTTTGATTATATTCGGTATAATTTATTGACGCAATTAACAATAACACGACCATACGAGTTAAGCTCAAATACGAATCTGTTTGCTGTTTGCTGTTTGCCGTTTGCTCCATCAATGCAATCTCTGTCAATTGAGCAAAGCGCACCGCAATTATTGGCTGCTGCAACTTTAATTAACAGTCAATGGAACTCTGCACTGACTGACTATGAGTTACCCATCAAGTGCCTAGACAGATAAATATTGATAATGCTCTAATATATGCCCTATATATACAGTAAGCTGTCTGCCATATGTTCATCATCTTATCTTCACATGCCCCCTCTTCAAATCCCTGCTTCTTACACTGGGTATCTCGTCATATGTCAATAGCTCAGGCTTAAGACAATTGTTGTTGCTCTGGCTTTTAAGCTGCTCTGCGCGTGTAATCAAAGCAAAGTGTGGGCAACAACATGAGGAGCTTTGCACAGTTAATCTGCCGCCGTATGAACGCGAAGCGGCTGCTCAACAAGTCACAAAATTAAAAGTGAAACGCACATTTGATATACCAGTATGTTTACAAACACATATATACATACATGTTTACAAATAGAAATACAAAAACATATACATATACGTTGTGTATACGTTGCTTACTATTATCTGAGTTAGACTCAAAGACTTTTAGAAAGCACTTACACTTCGCCCTGCCATTGCCATTAACCGCACAAAGTAATTAGTGTCAGCAACAATCTAAAAAGCTGAGAACAAAAGTCTCCGCGGACTTCGTTTACAATGTGGGAGATAAGTGAAAGTGCTTGGCTAGCAGCATTTCAGAAACCGAGATGGCTGGCATCAACTTTTCATTTTTTGGCTAGCATCAACTTCTCATTTTTCAACAAAATTTTTTCCCATTTCATAGTTTAATGCTGGCCCAAATATTTATTTAATAATTATAGCCTGAAGAATGTCCTGGTGCAGCAATGTGACTTTTCTCAGCTGTATTTGAAAGCATTTTGGGTTTACGACAAATTGGTGCCCCTAAAAGTATGCAGCGAAAATTTCCATATGGTAAATTCTTTTCAACTTTTACCAAATTCAGTACGCCTCGCGTTTCTGCTGGAATTTGATGAAAAATTTAGCAAATCAATGAAGTTTTTCCATAGGAAGGCTCAACAAACTAGAAATATTTGTATAAATAAAGAAAAGGTTTGCTTTTGTATACAATCTCCTGTCCCGTATTTGTTCGAGTTTTCAGCGTAATTGTGGCGACCAGCAAGACGCATTTACTTTTGTAGCTGGATTTATTCTTCGAGTTCTGGTCAAAATTGCATTGCATACTTTTAGATGTAGTTGTTGTGGAGGGCTGCCGGTGCTGATTTTCAAAACAACTGAAATGAAAATGGAATATATGTACATATATATTGCATTGTGACATACAATAGTGCAGAGGCAACGCTCTGTTCCTCAAACATTTAAATTCTAAAGAAATGCCAAAAACGGGTTAGCCAAAAAACAGTTTGGACAAAATATAAAATCAGTTCGAGCTTGATTTAACTTTGAAGATATTGAATGTTGCTTGAGCTATATTTGAATATATATTTTTTAAAATATATATCTCTTAATTTTAATGTTTTTAATAAATTAGACTAAAACAAAAGGCTTATTATTTTTGCCTGTGATTCATGCTGAAAGTGTGGAATTATATTATATTCACATATTATATCATATTCACATATAGCTTTAGCATTTAAAGTTTTAGCCGTTGAGTTGAAGTTTTGAATGGGTATTACTTGCTAAGTTAGGTAGATGTGTGTGTATACTATGCCCCTATAGATATAGATATGGCAAACAATTATGCGTTTGTTTTGGAGTTGACATTCACACCAACTAGGCACGTAGATCTTACTAACCAGTTATGTAAACACCAGACCTTACAGCCAAAAAGTGAAATGACAAAAAGGCAAAAGAAAAAAACACAAAATAAAATTTCCATTGTCAAAAAGTCCAATAGTTTGATGAGTCAGTCGCTTAATCGACGATACATCTTTAGTTGAATTTAATAAATATGAAATTCCCCGGAAAGCTGTTGCCCTTCTGAATCATTGTGAAGCTTTTAATGAGAATGCATATTGATTGACGCCATATCAGAGCCAAATTCACTCGAATAATGCATTTTTTATAATCAAATTGTACCGTCGGGGGGCTGAGGCTTACGATAATGCAAACAAGCTGTTAAATACTAGCGAAAAACGGCTGTAATTTAATGCAAGTGCCATTGAGACCATAAAATGTAGCTAGAGTCTGCTGTGAGTGGGGCGAGCTGTCAGTTGAAAATTCTCATTTCACTCGACAATTTTGTGTGCAAGATAAACGCAATGCAATCAACGTAAGTAACACAAAAATTTTAATGATTATTGCTAGAGATAAGGGCTCATGTTTCCATCAGATTATATGCACCTGTTTTGTTAGATCAGCTGTCATAGATAAATTTGCATTTTCACTGCTCAATTGCTCAGCTCAACAGTGACGCAATTATCATAACTCTGTTAGCATGCCAAAACTCCAATAGACTAACAGTCATAAACTTTCGTAGTGAGTTGTTATATGAGCTTTAACATTTGAAGACTCTAGATTAACAGTCATTAACTTTCGCTGAGAATTGCGTAGCTTACTTAACAGCAGCGATCTCAGCATAGCTCTGTTATTATGAGAGTTTAACATTTTTCAGAAATGTAGGTATCATAATCCAGCACATTGCATGGCTGAGATTAACAGTTGAATATTTATAATTTCCCTGTTAATATCAATCTCGTAACGTAAGCATAGCAGCTCCCTAACGAACGTTAACAGACTAGCAGTCAGCCAATCAGATCTCACTCGTAACACGTTTGAAATTAATTAAATACTCGATGAGTCACAAGAGCGTAAAACACAGAAATATACATCTTTTAAAAGCTATAAACCATTTTACCATACGATGCATATGTAGGGGGAAGAACACGATTTTAGAAAGTAGTAAGGCTTATGAAATTATTAATACATTGAAGTTGATTAAGTCAAGAGACGATATACCAGTTCTTGAAGGTGGTGGCATCTAAGAGAACTTGATCTGTTGCTTCTTAAGCAACCTTGGAAAAGTAAATGTCCATGATATGTGTTTGCCCTGACGTCATCAGAGAGATTCGAATTTCTGACTGGGCAGCTGGAATATCAATTAAGCTCCATTCAAGCATGCATTGATTTGCACAAGAATATGAAGTAAAATTGTAAAAAAGATAATACAAAAATCAATGAGAGTTCTTTATTGAAAATCCCTATTGACAAAACCCTTTATATAGCACCTTCTGTTGACTTACCATTGGAAAAGTTGTTCTCCGCTTTATCGCATGGACGTCATCGCACCGGGCCACCGCTGAAAATGTTTTGAATCAATATTAGCGAGGGCCGATTTAAGTTTCAATTCGACTCGAATCGCAGCGCACTGAGTAAAAAAAAAAAAAAAAAAAAAGAAACATAATAAAAAAAAAACCAACAACGACAACCGGCGTCAACCGCCTTTAGACAAGTTGATATAAGTTTCGGCGACAAGCGGGCCCTAACCGCAGTTGTGCGACCGCATTTGGCGGGTGAACAGCGCTTGACAGACTGACAAATTGGCCGGCTGACTAATTGACAGAGAGTGCGCCGACAGACAGTGGTCGAGTCTTGAGGGCTTCACCTATTCAGCTCCACTGCGAAAACAATCATAATAAATCACACCGAAATGTGGAGTCAACTACAAAGTGTTCTGTGGCCTTTGATCTTGACCTTTGGTGAGCTAAGCAATTCTATAAATTGTGTAAAAATGCCAAGTGCTGAGATGTTCCGGTGTTGAAACAATTATTTAATTGTTGTTAAATAGAAAGCTAACTAAACGCAGCAGACACGCCCTATTATCAGCAGACAGCAAACTTTTATTAATTGGCAAATATTTAAGCACTATTTAGAGTGGCTTTGTAATTTTAAATCGGTTCAGTGTTTG